AGCCCTATTTTGTATTTTATTTAGGGACAGGGTCTCACTGAGTTGCTTAGTGCCTCGCCATTGCTAAGGCTGGCTTTGAAGACCCAAGTATTGGTTGCTCTCCTGGACTTTGCCTTGGAACTCACTGCCTGAGTAGTCTCAGGAAGAGCTTTGTATGGGTGCTATAGGCAGCTCCCCTGAGCTCAGCCTAAGATGTGTTTCCACTATTTGTACAAGAGGTTTCATTGCTTGTATGGATCAGAACCTGGGTCTACCCATGGTTGGCAATGTGAACAGATGTGTTGCCCGGTGCAATTTCTGCATCTGTAGAATCAGGAAGTAATAGCAATAGTATTTAGCTCCCAGGAACATCTACCCTTGAGAGTGCTGCACAAACGTGAGCTTTGTAATTTTTTATAATTTTAAACATAATCTTTTAATTACCAGCTCTGACAGGGAAATTCCTAACCCTGTCTGCCTGTTTTCTTAATTTTAAACAGGAATAAAAATATGGGGACAAGGAGCTGGGGTAGTGGCTCAGTGGTTCTCAGCACCACATGAAACAATAAAATAAAGGTATTGTGTCCAACTACAACTAAAAAAAAATTTTTAAAAAATGTGAGGATACGCAGTCTTTGAGCCCCCTCACAAATGATTTCTATTGGTGATTTCTATTGGCTGCTCTAATTTTATGTGTTTGAATTTCATGAACCCAAATGATAGGAATATTCTTTCCCACAAGCCCATCTATTACCAGTCATATTCCTTCTGGGTCTCCTCCAGCCCTGGGCAGATGTTACAACTTGGAGTCAACAGGATTCGGCTCAGGTCTTAGCATATTCCTGAGTGAGCGTCCAGATACTTCACTTTCCTCATCTGAAAGGTGCAGTGAGGACCATACCATCTCATGGTGTGTGTGAGGAGGCAGGTGCTCAGCACAGAGCCTGCCTGGAGCCACCAGCTCCCATGAGCCCCAGGCACATCATCTCCTTGGACAATGAGGGCAACAGACTGAGAAATGAGACCAAAGGGTCCTTGGACCAGCAGGTGCAGCCAGTGACCTCAGCAGCTCTTCTGCGTGCAACCCTAAGATGACCAGGTTTTATGGACAGAAGGGGGCCCTGGAACCTCATTCTGTGATGGGCACCCTTATAGTGCAGCCAGGGAGGACGTTCTCTGTCCTGAAAGACAGGTAGTCCTTCAGAGCCAAGCTCCCACCTTGAGAAAATACACTAACTGCCATAACTCAGTCTTTGTACATATCCCAGGCTGTGAGGCCAAGAGTGGCCATGTGCACCTGTTTACAGAGTTGCTTCTCCCTGTACGAGGACCACCCAGTGTCACTGGGCCCTTGGGGCCACTGAGGAGTGAGTGGTCAGGATGGAACCAGGTGTGGTAGGGCCTGGAGGGAAGAATGACTGGGGCAGAGTCAGAGAACAGGCTTGGCCTCTGGCCTCCCAGATGGAGACCCAGGCTGCCTGAGTGCCTCCCAGGATAATCCCACCCCTCAGAGCCTTCCCAGCTGTCTCTGCTGCCCACACCTCTTGTCACTTTTGGATCTGAATGTCCCCCAAAGTCTCGAAGCTTGGTCCCTAGGTGGTGGCACTATTGAGAAGAGGTGGAGACTTTAGGAGGTGGGGCCTGTTCAGAAGAAGTGGCTCCCTGGGGGCATGTCCTTGAGGGTACTGGGACCTTAGCTCCTTCTTTCCCTCTGCTTCTTAGCCACCATGAGGTGAGAAGCTCTGCTCTGCCGTGTGCTTGCCACTATGATGTGCTGCCTCACCACAGATCCAAAGTGTCGGGGCCAAGCCATCTTGGATAAAGTGCCACCACCTAGGGACCAAGCTTCGAGACTTTGGGGGACATTGCAGATCCAAAAGTAACAAGAGGTGTGAGCAGCAGAGACAGCTGTGGACCAAAGTAAATACTTGCTGCTCTAAGTTGTTGGTCTCAGGCAGTCTATCACAGTGGTGGAAAGCTGAGTGGCACACAGAGTTGGTGTGGGACATTGGGGTCAGAGCCTCTGGAGGTGGTTTCCAGGAGGAACTTAAAAATTAAGAGAAGCTTTCTAGGAAAAGCTTAGAATGCCATAATCTGAGAATCATGGGCAATTCTGGTTGGAGCACATTAGCCAGAATGCTGATAGGAATGTAGACATTAAAGACTGTGTTGATGTAACCATAATTCTGAGAAGTTTTTTTTTTAAAAACAAACAAAAGTATTCCCTTCAATTCCCATGGAAAGATGTTTTTCTTCAAGTTACTTTCTCCTCCTCTGTCAACCTCATCCCTACACTACCCCATCTCTTTCTCATGGTATTGTAAATTCTAAAGAAAGCCCTCTGCTAAGTCTTTCCTCACCTCAGCTCAAAAGGTAATTGTCAATCCAAAAAGAAAATGCAGACACTGACCCCAGGAGGTCAAGGTTCCCTTTAATGTGATAAGGAGGCAACAGAGGTGAGCATGCTCTTAGAAAAGGGATTTTCTGCCTTTTGAACCACTGTGCCCTTATTCTCCCCTCTAAAAACTGCTCCCATAAGCCCCCAGAGATGGAGATTTGAGACAAGCCGGCTTTGAGGCTGTCTCCTGAGCTCTTGTGGAGCGTGACAAGGAGTGGGACCTTCCTTCCCAGTTACACTGATGAGGTTTCAGTGAACAAGGACTGTTGGGAATTGGACCAGAGGCCACACGGATGACACTCTGGCAAAGAACTTGTCTTCATTTTGTCCCTGCCCTGAAACTGTGTGAGGCTGCATTTAAAGGTGATGGACTAGTGTTATTTTTTTTATTTTTATTTTTTTGGTGGGGGAAATTTCAAGGCAGCACAGCATTCAAGCTACAGCATGGGCATTGTTGGCTGATTTTAGCCAGGGTTGTCACGAGAATTGTGTGCAAAAAAACATAGCAGAAAGATTTGAAAAACTTGCCGTTTGGCCAGAAAAGAACCATGTGTAATTTGGGCCACCGAAGTTGTGATCGCTGAAGACTTAAGTTAAAACAAAGCCAAACCAGTCACGGTGGCATACACATGTGATCCAATTGACTTGGATGGCTGAGGCAGGAGGATTGCAAGTTGGAGGAGAGTCTGGGCAACTTAGCAAGACCCTGTTTCAAGATAGAATAAGCTAGGAACGGTGATACACGCCTGTAATTCCCATGACTCAGGAGACTTAGTGAGGCCCTCAACAATTTCGTTAAGATCCTGTCTCAAAATTTAAAAAAATAAATAAATGAAAAGTTTTGGGGATATGGCTCAGTGGTAAAGCACCCCTGTGTTCAATCCCCAGTACCCCTACCCTGAAAAAAATCCCCAAAAAGATAAAATTAAAAAGGAGGCTGGAGATGTAGCTTAGTGGTAGAGCACTCCTGGGTTAAATCCCATGTATCACAAAAATTCATTCAATAACATAAATAAATGCCAGGCTGGGCACAGTGGTGCACACCTATAATCCCAGCAACCTGAGAGGCTGAGCCAGGAATATTATAGGTTCAAAGCCAGCCTGGGCAAATTAGCAATACCCTGTCTCAAAACACAAAACAAACAAAAAAAGGACTAGCGATGTAGCTCAGTGATAGAGCACCTCTGGGTTCAATTCCCAGTACTAGGGGAAAAAAAAGTTAAAGAAGCACACTTGTAATCCCAGCTACCTGGGAGGAGGCTGAGGCAGAAAGTTTGCAAGTTCAAGATCAGCTCAGCAACTCAGTGAGACCCTGTCTCAAAATTTAAAAATAAGAAATGGTTGGGCTTGTATTTCAGTGGTAGCATGTAGGAGGGTCCTAAATTAATTCCCAGCACCAAAACAAATAAGGACTTTGCATTTGCATCTGAACAACAGGAAAGATATTTGAGAGCACCTCAGGAATCGGCCAGACCCCACCTATCTCAGGCTCAAGGGTGTAAAAGAATAAACTCATAGGAAAGCGTGCACGGCTTACCCAGGGCCACACGGTCCAGGTGGGCCCTGCTACTGTGTGAGCTGGTGGCAGATCTTGGCATCATCTTTGTGATGCTGGTTTTGCAGGAATGCAGAATACAAGAGTGTTGGGGCCATGGCTCCCTGGCCACCAGGAGGTAAGCAGCTCTGCTCTGCCACATGCTGCGCACCATGTTGCTGCTTCACCACAGGCTCAGAGTGATGGGGCCGGACAGTGTGTGGCAGGGTTGGAACCCGAGCATGAAGCCCCAGGAGGGCAGTGTGTGAGGCTGCGAGAGGAGTTAGAGATGCCAGGAGCATGGCTCATCTACCCATGAAAACTGCAGGCAGCAAGCAGAGCCAGCCCAAGAGAGTGGCCCTCTGGACTACCGATGGCAAAGCCCAAACCCTTTAGGGCCTCACCCACCCCACAACACGCCCCAGGTGCCAGACGTGGAGCTACAGGACTCAGTGTTTGCCTGGCTGGGTTTTGGTCTTTCTTTGGTCTGATCCTTCTGTGGCTTTCTCCTACTCCTCCTCTTCAGAATGGAATGTCCACCCTGTACCTGGTATACTGGACATATGTAACCAGGTCTGTGGTTTTCTGAAATAGGGGCTCACAGTAAAGGTTGGCCCAAGTCTCAGAAGAATTTTGGATGTGTACCTGTGTGCTAGGATTGAACCCATGGGATCCTAAGCACTAGGCAAGTGTTCTGTCACTACGCTATTTTATTTTGAGACATGGCCCCGCTTAGTTGCCTAGGTTGGCCTTGAACTTGCCATCGTCCAGTCTTAGCCTCCCAAATAGCAGGGATCACAGGCATGTGTGCCATACCCGCAGCATCTTGGACTTGTGAGGAATGCGCAGACTGTCGAGACCAGGGGATTCTTGGAGACCAACTGAAGGCACCTGCCTCTGGAGACCTGGGGTGGAGGTGGGTGGGGAGTCTGGATCTCAGGCGCCCCCCAGAGGCACGGTGTGGAAGCTTTGGTTCCAGGCGGATGAGGCTATTAATAGACGGTAGGGACTTCAGGAAGTGGGGCTTCACTGGGGGACCTCTCACTCTGCTCCCTGGCCACCACGAGGTAAGCAGCTCTGCTCGGCCACATGCTGCTGCTTCACCACAGGCCCAGAGTGATGGGGCCAAGCCACCAGTGACTGAAACCAGGACCCAGAATAAATTGTTCCTGCTTTTCAGTTGTTTGTCTCAGATATTTGTCACAGTTGTGGAAAGCTGGCTCACACACCCCCTGGGGAGAGCAGAGAGGCGGGGTGCTCTGCTCCACCTGGGAACCCAGGTGCCGTGTCCCGGCCTGGACGTCTTCCCGGGAGGGAAAACTGCCAGTTCTCACTCTTGAGGTGGAGACAAGAAGTGGAACAGAGGCCTGGAGCCCTACCATCTAGAGCCTTCTGCCCTCCCTTCTCAGTGAGAGAATCTATCCCTTCCCCTCCCTGCTCCTCCAAGGAGTCCTGAAAGGAAACAGCCGGCCATGGTCTTGGAGGGAGCCTGGCCCCAAGTGAAGGACGGGGCCAGGAAACCCTGTGTATAAATATATAGGCTGTGTTTATTATACAAAGGCATCTGGTACGTCTATGTCCATGCACAGCTCAGGAGCACGGCGGGCAGCAGAGCCTCAGCCTGGAGCAGGCTGGAGCCAGGTCCCTTCCCGGAGGCCTGGCCACCTTGGGCCATCACTGGAAGTCGAGAGTCCTGTTGCTGGGGACGTAGAGGGACTGAGTCTGGCGGCTGCGGCGCGGCGTGGCGTTGAGAACATCCACACTTTTGCGGCTGGAGCGCACGACGTGAGCCACGAAGCTGGTGCAGTCGCTGCAGACGTCCTTCAGGGTGCAGCCGTGGGCGTAGATGTGGGGGAACTCCTCCTCCACACTTCGCCACTGAGGCCCCTGCAGGGATCTGGGGCAGGTGGGGACCCAGAGGGGACTGTCAGGCTGCGGAGCCAGCAGGGCTCACACATCCTGGGGGCCCTGCAGTCCCCTAGGCTCTCCTGCTGCCTGCCCCTCCCCTCCACCACCACAAACCCACAGAGACCTGGGGAAGCAGCCTGCCTGGCAAAAGCATCCCAGAAGGGCTCTGGACAGGAACTGGACCACCCCAGCTCAGTTTCCATCTCACCACTCTGCCTCCCCACCCCTCCAGAGCCATCGGAACTGCACCTCCAGGGGGCGTCCTCACACAGGTGAGGCCAACCCCTGCTCCTGCTCCCAAGTCCCTGCAGAAGCCTGACCAGACACCAGCACCCAGGCCGGGAACACACTGGAAGACGTCTCGCCTTGGCGCTGTTGCGGTTTTGGCAGCGGGTGCCCTCTGAGGATTCTCAAAACCCAGTGTGTAGACAGGGATGTGTGCACACTTCTTAGAAGGCATCTTCATCTGCAAGAGAGGGAGGCGTGGCAGGCCCCACATACCCAACAGGACCTTCTTCCTGTCACTCCCCAACAGTGTCTTCTGCTCAGTGAGAGAGGACTTCTTAGGAGTGGGAGCTGTGCCCCTTTACACCAGGAAGGGTGCACTGTGAGCCCTGGACACAAGCGGTGTTCGACACCGGGGAGGAGGAAGTTGGCACTGCCGAGGGTGGATCACGAGGAGGGTGTGGAAACAGTGGGCAGAGGCCCTCCTCAGCAGGCTGGTTTCCAGGCTGAGGCCAACGGACAGGATTCTGAGCGACACTGTCTGTTCACCTGGGTGCATGCTGCATGTCACCAGGCCAAAGTGCAACCACAGATCTGGGGGAAGGCACTCCCAGGAAGGAGGCTTCAAGAGGGCGACCTCCTCACATGGAAGGCTCACTGCTTCCTAAAAGCCTAGCAGGCCTGGAAAGTGTAGGGCAGGTCTGCCTGGAGGAAGTGATGGCAAGGCGCCTGGGGCCTGGAGCGCTGTCCATGCCCGTCCCAGCTGGGAGAGACCCTGCAGATCCCAGGAGATGCTCACCTTCATGCTACAGGAAGTGCAGACGGCTCTGGAAGAGAACACAAGAGGCAGTGAAGAGGGCCCCTGTGTGTCTGGCTAAGAGCCCAGGCAGCCCACAGCACCTGAAGGAAATCGACGCCCAAGAGACAGGTCCCTGTTTCCCCTGAAGCCCGCTCTGCCCAGGAAGCCCACTGTGGGAACCCAGGGGGGAGGCTGGGTCCCACAAATCCACTCCTCACAGATGCAAAGGGAAAATACCTCCTCAGGGGCACTGACCAATCCCAAGGACTCAACAGCCACGGCAGGTGACAGAACACCCCACCGTCACGTGGGTTGCCCACCGCAGGCCCACTCCTCTTCCTCCTTGTTCATTGGTAGCCAGGTGCACTGAAGGCTCACCTCTTGCAGAAGAGACAGGTGGGCGGCCAGGAGAAGAGTGGGAACTTGGCTCGGCAGCAGCAGCAGATCTGTGAGGGAAGGCACGCTGGGGCTCAGCTGTGTTCACCGCCCACCAAGGTCCTGCCCACACTGGCCTGCCCCTGACCTCCCATCAGGAGAGATCGGCCTTCAGCTGTCCCCAGGCCCTACCTTCCCCCTCTTCAGGCTGCTGAAGAGCTCCTGGTCCTGGGCGAACTTCTCCATCTCGGCCTTCACCAGCACGCGACGCACACCCACCACCTCCTCCACAGTCAGGGCCAGGCTCTCCACGGGGTGGTGGAACTCCTGCACAGAGGGTCCTGCTCACGCAGCCCAAGAGCAGGGCCCCACCAGCTGCATCCCTTCCCTGGGGCCAAGCGCTCTGTGGCTTTCTGAAGTCAGACAGCTCCCGCCTTCTCTGAGGAGGCTTTGCTGCAGCAAGACTCCCCTGCTGGCTCTCCAGCTCCCGGTCCCCACCCTTGGCTGCCCGTGCTCCCCAGCTCCCCAGCTGCCCAAAAACACACACCCTGGGCTGATCCAGACCACCAGAGGACAGGCTGCGGTGCACGCCTATCACCCCAGAGACTTGGGAGGCTGAGGCAGGAGGATTGCAAGTTCAAAGCCAGCCTCAGGCAGAGAGAGGCACTAAGCAACTCAGCCCTATCTCTAAATAAAATACAAAATAGGGCTGAGGATGTGACTCAGTGGTCCAGTGCCCCTGAATTCAACCCCAGGTACCCCCTCCCCCCAAAAGACTGCCAGAGAGTCCATTTCAAATCTTCCTCCCCTTGGAAGTCTCCAAACTGAGCTCTCTTTCCTCTCCACTGACCACACAGTAGGTGCCCTGTCCATGCAGCATGGCACGGAGTCAGCCTGGTGCTACCTCCCAGTGCTCAGCACGGAACTCGTTGTGGACCTCACTGAACTTCACTCCTCTGTCCATGGGGTGGATTTCAGCCCCTTTGAGGTAACATATATAAAGCCCATAGCCCAGTGCTGGGCACACAGAGCTCAAAGGGCCAGCTGCGTTCCCAGGGCCCAGCCTGTGAGTGCCAGAGACGGAGCTGGGAGGGCGTCCTCTCTGGGGCTGCGTGGCAGGGGAGGGGACCTGGATCCTGCTTTCCTCTCCACTTGGCCTAGAGCCTCTGGCCTTGGGTCCAGGCTCTGTGCCCATTGCCATGGCCAGGAGTTCTGCTGTCAGGTCAACCGTGGCCTGCAGGCAGGGGGGCACGGGTGTGGCAGAGCAAGCCTGGCAGCCACCAGCTCTGACTTTGGTAGTCAAACTTTTCAGAAGCACTTCCAGAATGTCAAAGCTGAATCTTAAAACATGTCTCTGATTCCTGGACCCAGAAGTGGTTCTCAGTTCTTCTCCCCTTGGGAACAGGCTGAATTTGGTGACTCACGTGCAAGGAATAGTGGAAGCATGTCTGAGACCTGATTGTCAAATACGCTGCAGCTTTCACCTGGCCCTCTCCTGGTCCACTTGCCTGGGGGACGCAGCCACCATGGTGAGGATGCTCAGTGGCCCCCAAGGCTCTGAGTGGCATACCCCTAGCGTGAGAGAAGCTGTCTGGGCAGCAGCTCCTGCAGCCCCCAGACAGCCTTCAAATGACACTGCAGCCCCTGCTGATAACCCAACTGCAAGCTTGGAAGACACAGCCAGGGCCCTGCTG